TATTGTAAAATCATTTTTTTATATGTTGTACACCGGGTGAAGGATCAGTAATGTAACATCGACGTTTCCTCCTGTTGTAAAAACCCCTTAAATAATAATTATGCAGATAATAAATAATATCGTTCAGATCCAGATTTACTTATAAGATCCGGATTTCTAGTATTTTATATATAACTCTAGTAGAGTAGCTCAATTGTCTGTTTTAAGCTTTCTGTTCTTTGAAGCTCTATTTTGATTAAAATTTTTGTAGGGAATAGTGATAGACCAATCAATTTGTCATTATTATTACTGGGCAGGAGCAGGACATCGCCTAATATTAGAATAGCGTGGAAAAGTTTTCACTTCGCTACAACTAATAAAACGTGACACAGCTGCCCAAATTCAGTCCCAATCCCAAGTCTCAAGTCCCCAATCCCAAATATAGAAGACCCAAAAATTTCAATACACGGATAATGCCGCTAACCAATAAAATTTGCATATGCTTTAACCTATTTTGGATTTGGGATTCGGGTTTTTGGTTTTGGAATTTAGTGATACCTTGGGCGGCAAGTATCATACATGATAATAAATTAGAAAATCAAGATATAACTGGTACAGATTCGAAATCTATCAATACAAATTATTAAAAAAAAAAAATCAGATGATTTATTTTAAGGGATTTAATATTCACAACATGTTGATATAGATAAATTACATGTGAAAAAGTATGTCTAATCAAAGACAGGGATTTGCGCAGGAACACATTACACTTAAATAAATCGAGGTACTTTACCTAAAGAAATACTTCTCGCCATAATACCCGGCCCAGATACATTCACAGGTTCACGATTTAAAATACCAATGTATTATTCTAGGTAGACATATATACATATTGGTATTTGAAATCCTTAGACTAAGATTGAAATATGTATAGTATTTCATTCCGTAATTAGCACCGCGCGGGCACTATTCAATAAATCTGTTGATTATTGAATAGTGCCTGGAGTATTATAGTCAGTGGCGTACGGTACATATGTGGTAATTACCTAAACATCCGGTTTACTTAATCTTGTAATTCTTAATAATTCAGATGCATATTCTTGATTTTTCTCCCGTTGGTCCCTTGAATTTATCACGAATTAAGTAGATTGCACCTGCAAAAAATAAATAAATAAATCTAAAATAAAGATAGAATAAAAAAAAAAAAGATTTAAAAGTCTTAAATATCGTATTATATTTCTTAACAGATCATTTTGTGAATTATGCCTCCTCAATCAGTACCTAAAAAAACGTGTAGTCGTATTAGTGACGCACAAAAAAAAGAAATATGCGAAATCGCAAAAAAAAATCCGTTATATAGACATCATGAAATAACGCAAAGAGTTTACAAAAATTTATCCAAATTTGAAAATCGATTGCACAACTGTAACGAAAATCCTAAAGCAAGCTGATGAGTATAATCAACTTGAAAATAATGAACAAGCCGAGAAAACCTTTCGTCATCGTTCAGTAAGACATCCGAGATTAGAACTCGCAATGAATATATGGATAGAACAAGTTACAACCAATGGATTAATTATATCAGACTCGCTAATAAAAGAAAAAGGTCATCAATTTGCAAAAGAACTTAGCATACCTGAAGGATCTTTTACATTTTCTAATAGTTGGGTCACAAAGTATAAGAAAAGAAATGGGTTAAGAAAAATTATAATGCATGAGGCAGCAAGTGCCCCCTTAGAAAACCTACCCACGGAACGTATCAAATTACAAGAACTTCTTTCTAAATACAATCCAGATGACATTTATAACGCCGACGAGACAGGTCTATCTATTGATTGCTTTCAAATCAAACACTTTCTAATAAAGTGACAGCCGGAAAGAAAAAGGTTAAGTTAGAAAAAAAAATAAAATTAAAAATAAAAAAAAATTTTTAAAAAAAAATTTCTTTCAGGATAAATCGAGAGTAACTGTATTACTTTGTGCCAATTTAACTGGCTCCCACAAGTTTCGCCCGTTCCTCCAAAAAGCCACGATCTTTCAACAGAGTAAATCAATCGCAGTTACCGGTCGACTATCAAGATAATAAAAAAGCATAGATGAGAAGCGATATTTGGAAGAGATGGCTGAAGTTTATCGACGCTGGTTTTCGTATTCAAAATAAAAAAGTTTTACTCCTGGTCGATAACACACTATCTCATATGTCATCGAAGGAAGAGCCTGAAGAGCCCGAAGAGCCCGAAGAACCTGAAGAGCCTGAAGAACCCGAAGAATCCAAAGAGCCTGAAGAACCCAAAGAGCTTGAAGAACCTGAAGACTTGAAGAGCCCAAAGAACCAGAAGAGCCCGAAGAACAGTTTCAAAACAGACCTCAGGAAAGGTCTCAAAGAAAACTGCGAGGAAGGCCTAGAGGAAGGTCACAAGGAAGGCCCAAAGGAAGGTCACAAGGAAGGCCCAGAGGAAGGTCGCAAGGAAGGTCCCGAGGGAGGCCCAGAGGAAGGTCACAAGGAGGTCCCGAGGAAGGTCCCGAGGAAGTTCCCGTAAAAAATCCCAAAGAAAAGTCTCAGACTATTCTTACCTCACAAACATCACTGTACATTTTCTCCCACCTAACATGACTGCGCATCTCCAACCGATGGATGCTGGCATAATAAGATGCTTCAAATCGAAATATAAAAACCTCTATTGCCATCATCTGCTCTCACAATTTGAAAAAAAATGAAGAACAAGGGTGAAAAATTCATTTGGTGTTTATTATCAGGGATGCTAAAGTCTGGGATCTTTATTTAAAAATCTAAAACCAACAGGAGGAACCGTCGATGTTACATGGTTAATACTTCACCCGGTGTGCAACATATAAAAAAATGATTTTACAATACCAAATCATTCTGCCAGTACATGTTATGATTATAATCCCACACTATTTTTATTATAATAAAATGGTGTGGGATTATAATTATAACATGAATTAGCGAAATGATCTGGTATTGTAAAATCATTTTTTTATATGTTGCATGTAACATCGATAGTTCCTTCTGTTACTAAAACCCACAAACACTCTTTAAATATAAACCCTAACTCAACTATAAAAAAAAGCCAAAAAATTTCATATTAAAATAAGTTCAAATTCGATTTAGCATCATCCCACATTTATAATTTATTTACTAATTGTTTATAGTTTATAAATATAGGAAACATACATTACGAGAAGCCATCAACTTTATTTCTAATGCGTGGGATGATGTTAGTGACACTACCATAAAAAATTGCTGGAGGGCCACAAGAATTATGCCGGAAGCAAGTGAGCCAAACGAGGAAGAAGAAAGTAGGCAAGAGAATGAACTTGAAGGTTTGATCTCTGAGGTCGATAATGTTGACATATTAGTTGAAGATCTTACGATTGAGAACGACCCAGGAGTTCAAGAGTTAATAAGTAATATCAAAAAAAATACCCACCTGATAGATCAACCAGTTGTAACCGAGGATGTGCTAACAGATGATAGTATTATTGAAATGGTAAATTACGAGTTTCGCGATGATGATGATGAAACTGAAGACAATGATGATGACGAACCACCACCACCTCCTCCAATTACCATTACTGAAGCCACTGAAGCATTGGAAAAAGTCATAAAATTTCAAGAAAATCTTGAAACCGGAAAAGGGTTTGATGAGAAAGAACTAAAGGTGCTGCGAAAAAAATTTAAAGAATGGTGGTATGAAAAGGAAAAAAATAAGAAGCAACTTTCAATCTTATCTTTTTTGGGACTAAATGATTGAAGCAGTTGTACCTTAGGTGTTGTAAGTTACTAGAGTGGTTAGGTTTTGGGACAAAGAAGAGTTACATTTTTTAGAATTAAAGATTTTTTTTTTTTCTTAAAAGTCACTTTATTTTTTTACTATTAATTGTATAGTTACCTTCAATTGTAAATCCTATAATATTTTAATCAAATTCTGCTGAATAAAATGATAAAATTTTTGTCGAACAAATCTATCATTACAATCATAAATAGTAACAGCCTGTAGCAGCAAATCCATTGGGCCTGATACAATAAAAATAAAGGATACATTTTGGCATTATGCCTTATATTGCCTTGAGATTTTATTGGGTCAGAAATATATACTAGCAGCCCAATATATGACTATTGGAAAAAGCAGCTTTTTCCAGTACAGGCTAGTGGATTAGAAAAGTTACCCATTCGTTGATTCATTTATTCTTCAAATTCATGTGTCAGACATTCGACCTGCTTATAGTAAATCAGTTTTCGGAGACAAAACTTGTACTATTCCTGATAAAAGGTTTTAACCATAAATTTCACATTTGCTACTAGACAAAAAAAAAAAAAGACGCTGAATTAAATTTAAAGAAAAATTAGCTTAAGGAATGTTGAATACTGCCTTTCAGGTTGGTATAAAAAATTTGCTATTCTAATCTTTTTATTTCGAAGAGGCATCCAGATCTACATTTCTTTCTAACTGTTAGGTATTTATATACTACGTTAGTAATTCTAACATTCGTATGTACGTACGTACTGTACGTACGTACGAGGTATCAGGTATCAGGTATTACGTATTTACGTATGTACGTACGAGGTATCTGGTATGCTCGTATGGTACAACGGTACATATGTACACATCCGTCTACTCGCCATTTGATTGGCTGTATATCATGGTTAATTAAGAGTGACTTTATAGAGAACGATTTATATAGGCCGTTATTAAAAATTTGTGATGGCGATTATAATACAATTGTGATTATATAGAAGTAAAATTAATATTAAAAAAATTTGGTAAATAGACAGATGTGATTATATTGGTTTTGTGACTATATGGGGGGTGACTATATGGAGGTTAGACTGTATATAATTTAATTCTAAATTTAGTTTAAATTTAAAATTTAATTTACAATTAAATTTAATAAAAAATATAAAATTATTAAAAATTTATTTAATCTTAAATATTATAAATTACTAACTATTACAATTGTATTTATTCTTAATTATTAATTGAATAAAAAAGTATTTGTATATTAGTATAATTATGTATTAGTTTTTTATAATATTTTATAATTAATTAATATTTATATATATATAAATAAATTACTATTTTTAATATAATAAAAATACAATATTATATTTATATATTAAAACATAAATATATATTATAATAAAAACTTATAATTTTAACAATTAATTGTTACAAAGTTTATGATAAATTATTTTTAAATTTATAAGTTTTTATTTAGTAACAATTGTTACTATTAAAATTTTTAATATATATAATTATAGCAGAATTTTTGGCTTAACTTTACAAATAGTATTAATATAATAATTAATTAATTAATTATTTTATTGTTATAAATAATTTTTATATTAATATTTTTAATTAGTTAAAGTTAATTTTTTATATAAATATATAACTTATAATTTTAAATAATATCAATATAAATAAGTATTTTATTAACAGGAGGTGTGGCGACTTAGTGTAGTGGTCTAGTCATCATTCTCTCCAAGTGGCAGGTCTAGAGTTCAAATCCCATTGGCGACTATATTTGAAAAATAGGCCTGTGTTCAGTTGACAGCTATGCTATCGGTTGGATCTAGAACTAAATTTGTAACTTTGGTCACACCATCTAGTAATGGGAGCTTTGGCACAATAAACCCGAGGAACTGGCATAAACGAAAACCCATTTGGGAAAACCTGAATCTGGAGGTAGCAGTGATCTTCGACAGTATTACAGGCGGGCTGAATTTGAACTGGGGCCTGAGATCAGAGAACTGAGCGACCAGGTCCTATAGCAGAGGACACACTAG